CGAATCATGCAGTGCCTACTACTACTGTGCCCAGAAACTGTAACTCTAAAAGGTGTAAAAAAGTTCCCTACAATCCTACAACTACGCATTTTAATTATTGCAATCTTAAAAATCAGTTAGAGGACAAAAGCTAATATATATATAATCATTGGTATACACAGAGCGTTTTTGGTCTTGTAGTTGATTTTGGGATCCCTGTGTTTTTCGCTCACACAAACTACTCAACTCTGTTTCGTCTAGAATTAAAATCGTAAAATATTCACTTTCTTATATTTTATTGCAATATTTTGTAACATGACAAAGAAATATATATATTTTGTAGAGGAAATTCGTTTTCTTTTCAAAACGAAGAAAGTTTGCTGTTATTTTGCGTTTTGTACAGTACACTAAATTGACCGAAAAGTAAACATTGAAATCAAACATTGTTGCTTTTCTGCCGAATATTATCCCGATTGAACCCAAACTCACACAGCATGACCAGCTCACCAATTTTATGACAAAGCTTGAAGGATTTTGAATTTTCTCATTTTACCAACCTTGCTTGACGGTCTCGGAAAACCGCTCTTAAAACGTCTCTAGGTATTCAATTGCTTTTTGCAAATATATGGCCTCCTTTCGTCACATGACTTGTATGTCCAAGTAATTTGGGAGTTACTGTCCTTCCTAAGATACACGCAATCCTTTTCTGCGTCTTGGTTCTCTATAGCAAGAGTGTAGGACAGTGGCTGGTTGTTAGGCCCCGTCACGGTCCCATCTTTGATGTTATCATTCATACCAGTCCATGCTCCGAAATAAAGGCCATCTAAATAAAAGAAATATTTCATATTTCACAAGAAAATCCCAGATTTGGCTCAATCGGAAAATCATAAGTTGCTCCTCTTTAAGGTACTAGGACTGGCAAAAGTGGGTGTCATTTGAAAAAAAAACTATTCAAACTGTATTCACTTTAGACCAAATTGAACTTGATAACTAGCTTGCATATAAAATTGTTTTTCGAAATGTTAATTTAAGATTAAGTTAAGACAAACGCAACTAGATTCATTTTTGCGACGTTTCGACATCCTCTGATGCCATTCTCAAGCAATTTTGAATTTATTACAACTGAAGAGCTATATGTACACATGAAACAATAGCGAAAAACAATAAGATAAAATATACAAAGTATTGTTCTAAACAAATAGTTTCGCGCGCACGGAGTCTGATTGTACATTGAGTGTTGGCTTAAGTGATCTTATATAGAACATCTCATTTATTAAGCAATCAAACTTGCTCGTGCATTTTTTAATCACAGTAAAACTGTCTGTAGGTGGAACAGTCTTAAGACCGTGTTCTAGGAAGCGATGTTTTCCAATCGTTGAGTAACGGTGCTCATCAATTCGCTGGTGTAAGTGACGTGCTGTGTAGCCAACATAGCTTGCATCACACAAACCACATTGAAACTTGTAAATAACGAGTTGTTGGCTGACAAGTGGAGGCTTTGGTTCTTGCATTTTAAGCATATCATTGAGCTTACGAC